GGAGGGTTCAAGGTCAAAGAATAAAGGTGGACCACAGACTTCTTAGAGCCACCTGGCCTTCAAGGACAGCATAACATTTCGTTTCTCCACTCGCTCATGTACGCTGGATCACAGGGCTCCTGCAAAACCTTGAGTTGTTTGCAGTTTACTATTTCTATCTCTGCTTATTCGCACAGTTTCTAGGCTGGAAGTAAATCTATCTACTGCAAGTAATAGCCATAACTAACCTGGGACCATGGTATGAGAACTTTCTTCAGGGAACCTAATGAGCTATTTGGGCACAAGCAATATTCCTCTAAGATTTAACTCTTGATGTGCAGGGCTAAAATAATAGAACACATAGGCTAAAGAATGAGAGAGGCAGTTTCAAACATTAGTTCTGTTCTTCCTTTCTTACAGTGGTAAGGAAGGATAAAAGTTGAGAAAAGCAGTGCTAAGGACTCTCCTTCTTAAACCTAAAGGCATTCCTGGTACTCCTTCCACTGATATTGTTTGTTCTATCTGAAGGAGAAAAATGAGTGGCTTCAAGGAACTAAAACTGAGGAAAAAAAGAGGGATCCCAATGTGATCTTAGCATATATGGGGCTTCCCAGAGCTCTGTGAAGTGGATGTAAGTGAATAATCCTTATTGTAACCCTCAACAGAGGTTAAAAAATCAGGAGCTTCACTAAATGCATCTGGCAAGCATTTCGTCTTCCCTTAAATAAAATAAATACCCTTAATAAAGCCAATGGAGGCAGGGTTGGTGGGAGGGGTGGGGGGTGGAGAGGGTGTTTATGATTTATTGTGGAGCAAGAAGAGGGCCTTGATGGCTCTGAACTATCTATTTAGAACTGCTGATTCTAAAACGAAGTTGTACATTGGTTTCTCTTTTTGTGCCAATCTTACATTTTTTAAAAAATATAACTTTTATGAATATCATCATTAGTGCTATAAGCACAGGGAAGTATAAGTTAATTTTACAGTAAAGTGATTATTAAATCCATTAGTCATATACAGGGAATCCATAATTAACTTATTCTCCAGCATCAAGTAAATGATTCTACTGTGTGCTTTAAGAAAGCAATTGTTCACTAATATGCAAAATACAGCAGAACTATTAGATCATAAAGCTATGCAATCTTATAATTAAATTATAAATTTTACATATTTTAATAATGTGCTTTATATACTTTAATTGTTTTCTACGCAAGATTAAAAGGAGGTGCCACGGTTTTTCTCAGACATATTATATCTTGACCTGAACCGTGCAATACTTAATAATAATTGATGAGTATCTACCAGGGATGGCAGCAGTCTTTCAGCAGCGTCAGATATTTCTTCGGATTATTGCCAAGGACGAAAATAAAGATATGCATTAGTCCTAAGTGGAGTCGCAGCCATTCCTGTGGGCTTTTCTTTTGTTTCCCCGCCCCCTTTGCTGTTATAACAACCACAGGCATCCATGTTCCCTCTTCCCAGAGCGGGCAGGCCTCCATTCTCACTGCCTTGGCCGACAGTGTGGGTAAGGCAACACACACATTAAATTCTCTGCAGGGGACTTATGTGCCTGCATGAGCAATCTATTGTTGTTATTATATTTTGGATTAAATAATGATGCCATTCTTTTCCATGTGCACAATTAAATGTGTTTGAAAGGCTTGGGAAATAGCACAAATCTGTGCCTCGGGGGGTGCCTCTGTAACCTTCTGTTTTTCCAAACCCTGATTGCTGCAGTGGGAACCTTAGTGCTGCTTTCCTTTATTCTCCCTCAGAGGGAGCCAACCTTTCTCAGATGGTTCCCCTATTCTAGCCGGCTTTCCAGTTTTCAGGAGTAACATTGCATTGAAAATGCCCTCCACACAGGAAGAATACGAAGTTCATTCATTCTGTGAACACTTATTGAGAGTTTACGACAGACATGCCCAGCCCTGAGCTTAACACTCAGATTTAAGTTTTTAAAAGATGAGGTTTCTTGACTTAGGTCTGTGAATCAGGTTTATTGCTAAGGCTTACACAGTTTATGTTTGTTAGGGCTTTCACAAGGTGTCATAGACTGGGTTATTTAACAACAGAAATTTATTTTCTGAAGTTCTGGAGGCTGGAAGATCAAGGTGATCACAGGGATGATTTTTTTTCTGAGACCCTACTCCTTGGCGTGCTAATGGCCCCCTGCTTGCTGTTTCTTTGCATAGTCTTTCTTCTATGTGTGTTTGTGTCCTAATCTCTTCCTATTAGAACGCCAGTCATAGTGGATAGGGCACACCAGAATGACTTCATTTTAACTTAATTACCTCTTTAAAGTAGTTTAAAGGGCTTCCCTGATAGCTTAGTTGGTAAAGAATCCACCTGCAATGTAGGAGACCCTGGTTCGACCCCTGGGTTGGGAAGATCCCCTGGAGAAGGGAAAGGCTATCTACTCCAATATTTTGGCCTGGAGAATTCCATGGACTTCATAGTCCATGGGGTTGCAAAGAGTCAGACCGGACTGAGTGACTTTCACTTCTTTCACCTCTTCAAAGACCCCATCCCCAAATACCATCCCAATCTGACATACTGAGAGTTAAGATTTCAACACATGAATTTGGGGGAGGGCACACGGCATCACTGATTCAACGGACATGGATTTGGATGAACTCTGGGAGTTGGTGATGGACAGGGAGGCCTGGCGTGCTGCAGTCCATGGGGTCGCAAAGAGTCGGACACGACTGAGCGACTGAACTGAACTATTCAGTCAATAACACTAAGGGATCCCCATTACCAAGCCCTGGCTAGGGTGGAGAAAGCTTTTTGAAGGGTAACTCTAGACCAAGTTTCAAAAGATAAATAGAAGTTACTCAGATGACTTATGGGGAAGGAGGATAGGCAGTCTAGGTGGACAGGGCAAGATGTGATGATTAGTCTTGAGTATGGTCAGAGCTGAGTGTGAAATGGGTGGGGAAATGGATTGACACAATGTTGGATCTGGAAGGTGGGCACAAGGACAATGCTGGAGTGCCATGTAAGTTACGCTCAGGGATTTGGACTTTATCCTGAAGGCTCAAAGGAACCACTGAAGGATTCTAAGTTGGCGAGTGGTGAAATTTGTTTTATTTTTTTACAAAAAAGGTGGTACGTTTAGGGGCCCAATGTCCCAAAGGTCACCAATATCCCAAAATATCTTCCCTATGTGATTTGCTTCAGTACCTGAAATTCTCAATAACAAAGAAGCTCTCCTTTGGGTCATTGTCCTGTAGATGCAATCCTATTTATTTTCTTGATGGCATTAATCAAGATCTGTAATGACTGAATTTGTTTTGTGTAGTTATTTCTTTGATGGTCTGATCACTATATTTCCTCTGCACCTAGCATAGTGCCTGGTTTATAGTGGTTGCTCAATACACATTTGCTGAAAGAGAGGATGGGTCATCTCGTCCAAACAACACATTAAGCCATTAAAGCCAAAAAGTTGACCCAGAACCCTTGAAATAAGATGGAGATCAGATAAATTTGGGCAACAGCGAAGTGTTTCCTGACCTAAATGGAGTTAGGTAGGACAGGCCAGTGTGAGGAGCCCCAGCACACGGGCCACTGCCCCATTTAGGCCTGTCACTGATCGGCTGTGAGGGGTGGGAGATGACGACTAATTGAGGTAACACACATGGAAGTGATTTGTACACTGGATTGGGAAGCTAGGTGGCCAGTGGGAATCACACCTCTGCCACTCACTGCCCACGTGACCCTGAAAAAGTGGCTTACACTCTCTCAATTTCCATTTTCTCATCTTGAAATAGGATAATGATAGTCCCTAACTTTTAGGCTGTAATGAAGATTGAACAAGTTAATACAAGGAAAACTTTTACAATAGGGTCTGGCACATCATAAGTGTTATGTTAATCTTGGCTATTATAATATGTTTTTGAATTTTAATTAGAGGAGGTACAATTAGCCCCCTTGATTCTGATCTCTACTCCTTTGCTTCCAGCTTCTAAGCTACTCCTATTCAGTTTCTAAAACCTAAATCATGTTACTTCCTTACTTAAAAATCTTAGGCTTGAAAAAATTCTTGAATCAAGTTCAGAGTAGCACCCTGATATCATGTGAGTGTTCTGTTCCAGGCCAGGATCAGAGGTTGTAAGAAGATAAACACAGAAGTGCCTTCTATCAATGGCCTCACATCGTTTCCATCAATGCTTCTCAAAGCTCAGGCCACAGACCTCCTGCTAGCATTTCTGGTGCTGAACAAAATGACAGTAAACCAAATCTGTAAGTGCTCAGAGCAGAGTGAGGGCAGAAGTCTAGGGCTTGACACCATCACCAGGATATGGAGCATGTTCTAGAACAGGAGAGATAGCAAGTGGGACACTGGGAGCTACAGTATTCTTTCTAGAAAATTGGTCACACGTTTTATACCAACCAGAAGAGAGCAACTGAGGCTGAGGGAGGTCTCAGCTCTTAGGAAAAAACGGAATTGAATGAAGAATTCGGACACTCTCAGGCCATTGCTCTAGCTACACTGTGGCTAGCGAGACCAAACTTGGCTTCACAGAATCAGCTGACAGAGCAAGATCCTGTTTCATTTGTGAGTTCTGGACACAAAATCATTCTCTGTGGCAGCTCTGATATTGGTGGATGAGAGATTTAGCTCTGTCCTGTTTATATAGCAGCAGTTGATAGATAGTGACTTCATAGTTGGATATTTATGAGAGGTTTCATTTCAAATAATATAGTTTTGGCCCATGGCAATGCGAAGGCTCTTACCCATTATTACTGAGAAGCTAAATCTTTAGGATATTGTAACTATAACTGCAGGGTCTGTTTGATCTACCCGGAAGAACTGGAAAAGTTAATATTTTTCAAAGCAATGAAAGCTTTATTATAAAAAAGTCTCATTAGGAAGTTATCTGTCCCTAAAACATATAGGCTATCAGAAGGTCAGGTATTAAAAAAAGCAACTTTTCATACTTTTCTTATACCTCATGACTTCTATCACGTAACAAGGTAATTAAAAAGAAAAAAAAGTTTCTTGCTTTCCATTACAGAAACCAAACACCTTGCCATGCCCTCCAGCCAGGTCCCAGCTCTGAGAGGGGCTGCTGAGGCCCATTCCTCACCCCTTCAGGACAGTGATCTTTGCTGCGTTAGGAACTGAGACTTCTACTGATGCAATGCTGTTCCCAGACCTAGAGACTGTCAGTGCATCGTGAGTGTCCTCTGTTTCCTCGGTTGTAAGAGAACGCACCCCCATTTTACACCGCCTGGGCCTATCTTCCAAAGTCTATGGGGTTTAAATCCCTGTACTGTGATGGGAGATCCTTGGCAATTGGGTCTGGAAAAGATGGGTGAGTAGGGTGGTACCAAAGCTCTTTAAGGTGGGTGCTGGGAATCAGGGCTTCCCTGGTGGTTCAGATGGTAAAGAATCTGCCTGCAATGCAGGAGACCTGGGTTCAATCCCTGGGTCAGGAAGATCCATCAGCTGGGAAATATTCATGTCACTGCTGCTCTTCTCAAAGGGACGCTAGATGGCACACAAGGGCCCCATTCACAGGCAGTCTTTTGGTTTGGGGGAAGCAGATTAAGAGCTTGATGGCTGGAGAAAAATTAGGCAAGTAATGAGGGTGATAGATTTATCAGAGGGCTTACAATTTTCCCTTTATATATTTGTAGTGCAGGAAATTCACCAGGACACAGAGTAACCCCTTATGTTTTTAGAGGGCCAGTGAGGGGAGCTTTCTGGTGTTACGGGTGAACTGGCCCATCCTCCCATCCCAGAACCAAGTTCATTTGTTGAAGTCCTAACCGCTAGTACCTCTGAGGAGGATTGTGTTTGGAAATAGGCTCTTTTGAGAGATGATTTATTTAAAATGAGGTCATTTGGGTGGTGTCTAATCCATTGTGATAGTTGTCCTTATAAGAAGAGGGAATAGGACACAGATGTGGGAATTGGACACAGAGGGAAGACCAGGTGCAGTCATAGGGAGAAGAGAGCCACCAATAAGACAGGGAGCAACATCAGCCCTGTGGTCACCTTGATCCTGGACTTTCGACCTCCAGAACTGTGGGAATATACATTTTTATTGTTGGAACTTCCCTGGCAGTGCAGTGGTTAAGACCTTGTGCTTCCACTGCAGGGGTCATGGGTTCAATCCCTGGTTGGGGAAAAGATCCTGCATGCTGTGGCATGGCCAAAAAAATTAAAAAATGATAATAATAGTAACTTAAAAAATAATAGCAGACAATAAATTTTAAAAAATAGTAATAAATTAGGTTTTGTTTTAGCCACCCAGTCTGTGGCACTTTTTTATGACAGCCCCAGCAAAATAATACAGGTGTGTTTAAGGGAGCAAAAGGAGCAGGGCGGACTCTATGACTGCGCATCGCCATGCACAATGTACTTCTTTCCAAAGTGTGAACCACTGAACAGGGCACTCTGCCTTTCCGTGTGCTGGACTCTTACACAGGCTGCACTGTGCTTCCATCACGGATTTTGCTCTCAGGGGCTACAGGAATTTCTTACCTTGGCCCAGGAGAAATGTTGGGCTCTAAAAGTTTGAGGCTGGATTTTTTTTTCATATATTTTAATGTCTCATTAATCAGATTTTAAGGAAAAGTTACTTTCTTGGTATAGTCAGGATTTCTTCAATACCTAAGCTATTAAAAAATATTTGGTCTCCAATTCTGTTTCTTGCTATGCTGCTACTATAGAATCTAATTCAGCATTTCCCAAAGTGTATTCTATAGCATATCCATAAGATACTCTAATATATTTTATTCACAAAAAGGATTTTATTGTAAAAAACCTTTGGGAAACACTGAGTATTATACTTCCCTCTTAGATATTCATCATGTACATTACATATTAGAAGCTCTGAGAATTCCTGCATCAAAGGAATCCCTTTAACTTTATTTAATCCTATATCTTTCAAAATTATTTGACTAAAAATACCTTTTATTCCCAGATCATCTAGCCAAAGTGATATTTCAAGAACTACAACAATAGGTTACATTTACTCTGGCATTATTGTGTGCAGGGCATTGCTTTAAGCAGTGCATTTATTTTGATTCATTTTCTACTGATAACAGCCCAGGAAAGTAAGGACTATTACCATCCCCAGCTGACAGATGAGGCATGCAGAGAGGACTAATTTGACTAAGATGACACAGCTAATAAACCTCAGCCAAGTCTCAAAATCAGGCATTCTGACTCCAAGGAGGGGTGCTTGGAGAAACAGCTCTGATCTAGGGACAGAATTTGGTTCAGTTTTCTTGGATTCAATGAATGTATTCATTCACTCAGTAAGTGTTAACTGGATACTTTTTATGTGGGGGTCGCTCTGCTAGGCACTGCAGATGTCCAGTGAATAAAGGCAGACAGATTTCTTGCCTGAAGGAAGTACCTATCTTATGGAATGACAGTCACCAACCAATGCTTCAAAGAGGTGTAAAATTACAGCTGTGATCAAGTTACAGAGCTTTTTAATAAAAGGAATATACTGATACAAAGTATGGGGTTTGAGTTGTTCAGAGAGAAAGGGAGGTGAAAATTAAGCCTAAAAGTAACTCTATAGATCCAGCCCTGTGGGTGATATTTGGCGAAAACTCCCACAAAGACTTGATTTAGTTTTGCTCCTCTCAAACTATGGATTTTAGTGTTAGTCACTCGGTCGTGTCCGACTCTTTGCAACCCCACGGACTGTAGCCTGCCAGGCTCCTCTGTCCATGGGATTCTCCAGGCAAGAATTCTGGAGTGGGTTGCCATTCCCTTCTCCAGGGGATCTTCCCGTCCCAGGAGTAGAACTCAGGTCTCCTGCATTGCAGGTGGATTCCTTACTGTCTGAGATACCAAGGGGACACTAACCTTGAAATGAAGCTATGTGATGCCAGCCCTTGGTCAAATTGTCACTTCCAAAGCCCAAGGTTCCCGGCAGCTTCTTGCACCTTTCACTTCTTTGTTCAAATGTTTCCCATTGTTCATTCATCCTGGGGTAGATGTTTTGAGAATTATCTTTCCAAGAGGACAGCTGCATTTTCTCTGGGATTAAGCCATAAGCAAAAAGACTGAAAGTCTGGTAGAGAGACCTTCCTTGGGCAGGATCCCTGTTGAGAGGTGGTCTCCATTCATCTTGGAATGTAGCCAGGCTACTACTTTATTTTCAGTACATAATCCTATTTAGGAGAGTTTTTTTTAATGTGGGAATGGTGGCAATGACAGCTAAAACTTTATTACGTAAAAATAAAAAAGGATGAGATGTGCATTTTAGGGTCTGACATATTAATTAGAAATTTTAGAGGCTTCACACTCTTCACACTCATTATCTTCACACTCTTAGAAGCACCTGTTTCCTACTCAAACCAGACAGAGAAATCAAGTAGGTTCTCTTTTGAGCTATTCAACTAAACTTCAGTGTTAGCTGAGTCTAAACAAGAGCATCTGTTCTTGAAAGTAAAAACCCAGTGCTTGAGAGCCACTCTTTGTTTTTAAGTCTCTCTTAAATCAATAAGTCTAGAGCCATTAGGTGCCAACAAAAACCAGTTAAACCAGAAGCTGTCATTTTTTTAAAACTAGTATACAACAACCTAACAGCTAAAGTTCTAATAAAATATAGATATCATTTATTAAGCATGCAACAATATATGCCAGGTATGGTGTTAAGTATACTGTACATTTTGTATCATACAAGCCTACAAGGATATTTCCCTTTCTTACAGAGAAGGGAATAGGTTGAAAGAGGTTAAGTGGGGCCACATAACTGACTAGCAACAGGCAGAGCCAGGGCTCAAACCCAAGTTGACTCAGTACAAAGCCGTATCGTCTAACCTCTCCAGGGCACTGCTTGGATTTCTCACAGGGTCAGTTTGCTTTTTCTCATCATCCATGAGTGACTGGCTTTGGAGACGGAAATTTCAGTGAATATACAGTGGTTGAAGGAGTCATGTTCTCACTGTTTGAATTTGTTTCATTCCATAGCATCATCTAATTTGGATCCAGATTCTGAATACTTCTAACAGCTCATTGTAAGGGGGAGATAGTATGATATAATGAATAAATCATGGGTCTTGAGACCAAATAGACCTTGGATTCAAACCTCAGCCCTGCTGCTCACCAACTGTGTAACACTGAGCCAGGCAGTCAGTCTCACTGAATCATTGTTTTTCTTATCTGCAAAATGGGTTAGCAGCATTTACCTTATAGGAGTACATTCAGGGTGAAAGACAGCGTAGGCTAGGTGCTTAGTATATGATTGACACTTAATAGGTTGTAGCTATTGGCTCTCATTTACACACATGGGCTCCTGTCCTTTTGTGTGACTCATAATATCAAGTCTATCTAAAGTGTCTGGGAAGAAGAGAAATGACTAAAATGAGAAATGAGAAAACTGATGGACTGCATTGTGGTAATTATTCTTAATAATTTCCGCTAGTAGAAGTTTGAATAAAAGTTATTTTATGCCTCTGTTCTACTTGGAAAACATTATAAAACTTTGAGTAGACAATAGTGGTGATAGTGCAGTGAGCTTTTTTGATAAAGATAAAACTTTATTGCCCTTTATGTACTCTCTTGGTTAATAAAGTAAGCAAATGAAAGGTAATTTGAAATACCTTTTCTACCATTTATAGTGTCAGAATACACAACTTACCTTTAAAAATGCAAAAGATTCATTGCAATGAAAGGTATGGCTTATACATACAAATGCATTTTTAAAACAATTCGCCTGTGTAGTGCTGAGAGGATTCATGATCCGAGATCTTTCACCATTGCAGAAATGAAATAGGATTTTCTTGCTAACTGTGTTTGAGGAGCAGCTAGCTGGGTAGAGACATGGTGTGTGGGCAGGGGCTTTTAGAAGGAACTGGTGAAAAGCTGGATCCTATGTGCTAAAAAATGGCTGCAGAAAGTCCTTTCTAGGGAAGAATGATCTTATTTGGTAGCAAAGATTCCAGAGATATATTCTGCCAAAAATTTCTGGGGGTAGGACAGTCCTGGCAGCTTGCGAGAGATCTTTGAGACATAGGCCACAGATGATAACTTTAAATCTGAATGGGATTGTGACTTTTCGTAACGATGCTGTGGACGTTGTGATGTTGCCATCCTGCGTGCGCACAGGCAGCGCACAGAACCGTGTGAGGAGGCAATCGGATCAGTGAAGAGAGTGCTGGGCTTAGATGGCATGCCTTCTAGTCCTGCTCTGTGCTGTTT